TGTGTGTAAATTTACATCTACCCTTATTAAATTTAATTAATCAATAAATTAACTAATTTTTAGTTTTCAATATTCACTTCCACAAGGTTTTGAGTTCCAAATTTTCTCCCCATCTCATCTCTCCACCCACCCCAAGACAGTGTGCATTCTGAATGCACCTTCCCCTAATCTACCCTCCCTTTTGTCTCTCCCCCCTCTTCTCTTATTCCCTACACCTTCTATTTTCCCGTAGGGCGGGATAGATTTCTATGCCCCACTGCCTGTATATCTTATTTCCCTGTTGCAGGTGAAAAAAATTTTTAACATATGTTTTTAAAGCTTTGAATTCCAATTTTTCTCTCTTCCTCCCTCCCCACCTGGCAACATTGAGAAAGCAAGGAACTTGATACAGTTTATACCTGTGAAATCATGCAAAACACTTCTATAGTGGTCATGTTGTAAAAAAAAAAATAATTATATTTCCCTTCATCCTATCCTGTCCCATGTTTATTCCATTCTCTCTTTTAATCCTGTCCCTCCTCAGCAGTGTTTGCTTCTGATTACCTCCACCCCCAGTCTGCCCTCCCCTCTATCATCACCCTGCTCTCTCATCCACTTCTCCCCTATTTTCCTGTAGGGTAAGATAGATTACTGTAACCAATTGAGTACGCATGTTATTCCCTTCTTAAGCCAAATCCAATGAGAATAAGATTCACTCATTCCCTCTCACCTTCTCTCACTTCTCCTAATGGTAAACAGCTTTTCTTGTCAGTTTTATGTGAGATAATATGCCCCATTCTACCTCTCCCTTTCTTCTTTTCCCAGTATAATCCTCTCTCACTCTTTATTGTATTCTCCAGATATCACACTTTCACCTTCAAGTCACTCTGTGCTCTCTATCAATCTACACATATTTTTTTTTGCCTCCAGCTACCCTAATATGGACAAAGGTCTCAAGAGTTACAAATATCATCTTTCCATGCAGAAATGTAAACAATTCAACCTTAATAAGTCACTTATGATTTCTCTTTCTTGTTTACCTCTTCATGTTTCTCTTGAGTCTTGTATTTGAAAGTCAAATTATCTATTCAGCTCTGGCCTTTCATTAAGAATGCTTGAAAGTTCTTTATTTCACTGAACATCCATTTCCCCCCTGAAGAATTATACTCAGTTTTGGTGGGTAGGTGATTTTTGGCTGTAATCCTATCTCCTTTGACCTCCAGAATATTATATTCTAAATCCTCTGGTCCCTTAATATATAAGCTGCTAAATCTTGTGTTATTCTGATTGTGTTTCCACAACACTTGAATGGTTTCTTTCTGGCTGCTTACAATATTTTCTTCTTGACCTGGGAATTCTGGAATTTGGCTGCAATATTCCTAGGAGCTTTCCTTTGGGGATCTCTTTCAGGAGGTGATTGGTGGATTCTTTCCATTTCTAGTGTACCATCTGTTCTAGAATATCAGGGCAGTTTTCTTTGATAAATTCTTGAAAAATGATGTCTAGGCTCTGATTTTTTGTTCATAGCTTTCAGATAGTCCAATGTTTTTTTAAAATTATCTCTCCCAGATCTATATTCTAGGTCAGTTGTTTTTTCCAATGAGATAATTCACACTGTCTTCAACTTTTTCATTCTTTTGGTTTTGTTTTACAATGTCTTAACTTCTCATAAAATCCCTAGCTTCCATTTGCTCCATTCTAACTTTGAAAGAAGTATTTTCTTCAGTGAGCTTTTGGATTTGCTTTTCCATTTGGCCAATTCTACTTTTTAAGGCATTCTTTTCCTCATTGGCTTTTTGGGCCTCTTTTTCCATTTGGGTTAGTCTATTTTTTAAAGTGTTATTTTCTTCTGTATTTTTGGGTCTCCTTTAGCAAGCTGTTGACTTGTTTTTCACTCTCATTTTTCTTCCTCTACTTCTCTTACTTGCTTCTCAAAATCTTCTCTGAGCTCTTCCATGGCCTAGTATTGATTCATATTTTTTTTTTTGGAGGCTTTGGATATAGGAGCTTTGTCTTGGTTCTCTTCTTCTTGGATAGGTTGTATATTTGATCTTTGTCAGCAAAGAAATATTCTGTGGTCTTACTTTTTTGTGCAACTTGCTCATGTTCTCAGCCAATTACTTGAGTTTTAAACTCTTTGTTAAGGTAGGGGTGTGCTTCCATTCTGGCTAATGTACTATTCCAAGATTCAGGGGTTTTGTGCAGCTGTTTTCAGAGATACTTCTTGGGACCTGTAAATTTTAAGTTCTTCCAAGGTGGTATGATAAGGGGCGAGGTGTTTGCTCCTTTCCTGTCCTGTACTGTGGTGTATGAATGACTACAAGCACTCTTTTTGCCTTAGAACTGTGAGGAAGAATCCCTTCCCCTCACCACTACAAGATCTACCATGCCAGTGCTCCACCTTGCCCCAGGACTGCCACCTAGGACTGTGACCTAGATCTAAGCATGGGGAAAGCAAAGATTCCTGCCTCAGCACCAGCAAAGAGATCCCTCCAATCCCTGTCTAATCAGCCACTAGATTCCCCTTCAGCCTGTGGGCCAAGAGCTCAGGAAGAAGCCGCTATCTCTGGGCTGCGCCAGGACTGGGTCTGGACTGATCTTCTCTCTCACTGTGGTCACAGACCTTTCTACTGACCTTCTAACTTGTCTTTGGCCTTTGTGGGTTGAGAAATCTGGAAACCACCACAGATGCCCATGTTTCAGTGCCCTGAGGACTGCTCCAAATTCACTGAGGCCCTGTTTTTTCCTGGGAGGTCCATGCTGAACTATGCCCCTCTTCCAGCCTGGAACAATAGATATTTCAATCAATCATCCAGTTTGTCTTGGGCTGGAAATTTATTTCACTCTGTCTTTTTGCAGATTCTGCTGCTCTAGAATTTATTTAAAGCCATTTTTTACAGGTATTTGGAGGGGTTTGGGGAAGAGCTCAAGCAAGTCACTGCTTTTAATCTGCCTCCCACCCCTATTAAATTTTATCTGGTTTGTTTTAGTCTCCTCCCCCCAAAAAAATAAAATGCTTATTAGAATTGCAATACAAATTAACCATGTACCCCATGAAATTATGGTACATTGTTGCCTTTGGATACACAGGAAAACCATCACATTTAGTGGATTTTCTGAGGTGAACCTATTAGCCATTCTTCCATTCGATTACAAATTCCCTTTGTCTTGTGACTTTTTTTATACCAATATAAAGACTGAAAAAAATTCGGTGCATTCACTAGTACGTCCATTATTTGAACAGTGAAAAAAATTTCACAGTAAAATTACAAATGATTTAGTGGATGTCTTTACACAGATTACAAATCATTTGATTTTTAGTACCTCTTGCTCCCCTTTCCATCCTCCTGCCATAATTACTTCCGAAAAGAATAGTAGATACATTGAACTTAGGGCCATTTTATAATTTTCTTTGATTCACTGGAGTCCAATCACCAAATAATTCATCTTTTATCATTGAGCCTGTCAATGCTGAGTTAGGCTGACTCCAGCAAGGACAAAAAAATCTGTTGTAATTGTACTGAAAACCTTTCCAAAAGCAGAAGACTGCAAGGATTTACTCTATAGCCTCATAGCCTTTGAGAATCTAGGGTCATTTTCACGTGAAGATCAACAGTTGGTTTAGGATTTTTAAATACATGTGTGTGTGTGTGTGTGTGTGTGTGTGTATTTAGGTATATATGCTCTGATTAATAAGTATTCCATTTATCTTTCTCCTCCTACTGAATAGGAAAGAGAAAGAAAAAGAAAAGGAAGAGAATACATATATGTACACACACACACACACACACATATATACACACATATATAAATATGCACACACACATATAGTATGTATGTATGTGTATTATATATTTATATAGACAGATAATCAAGCAAAACAAGATTCCATATAGACCATTACATTTACTTTTCTATATCTATCTTCAATTTAGTAAATTTCCTCTCTGACAGGTAAGCAGTGGGTTTCATCTTTAATCTTCTGTAATCATGGTTTATTGTTATACTTATTAGAGTACTAAAGTCAAAGTCGTTTTTATTTTGAATGCTGACATGATTGTACATTTTTTAAAAAATATCATTTTGCATTAATTCACAAAAGGTTTAGCAGTTTTCCTGAAGTAATCCATTTAGTCACTTATTTTGGCTCAATAACATTTTATTATATTCATAGACCATAAATTTTTAGCTCTTCCCTATTAATTGAAAACATTTTAGTTGTTTTGTTTGTTTGTTTGTTTTAGTTTTTTTTCTTCCTTCCAGGAACAGAAAGGCTCAAAATATCTTGTACATATGAATCATTTTCCTCTTTCTTTGATCTCTTTTGTATATATGCCAATGAATGGTATCACTGGGTCAAAAGATTCATTCTGGTTAGTTAGTTCTGGATAGCACGACTTAGGAGCAAATTGCTTTAAAGAATGGCTTTACCATTGCACAATTTCACTAACAAATGCATTAATCTTTCTATTTCCTCATATATTTTCTAATATTTGTCATCTTCCTGTTCTCTTATTTTTGTCATAGATCAGGACTTTGTGAAGAAGACACACAAAGACAAAGAGCTAATGTCCCCATTACTTCTGAAAATACACTAAGTCAAGCGTATTTACCAAACATACCATTTTATTCCAATTATCTCCAACTAGTTTGACATTTTCTAAATCACAATATTGTATCCTCTAAGTCCATAATTCCATTGTACTAATGTTAGATTGTTCCTAGATACCCTTACAAAGTGATAATTATTCTGGGTTCAAGAAGGTGTAATCTATTTGTAATTTATAACTTCTATTTATAAAGTATTGATTTCATTCAGTAATTTATCTGTTTGCACAATACCTTGCACAGTGACATTCTGGTAATTAAAGTAATGTTTAGTTGAACTTAATAAGACTCAGTTGAATTGAACTGGTTCTCCTACCTACTTAAGTTAGCTATAAAGTAATAAAGCTACATCTCATGTTCTAATGTTAAAAAACAAAAGTCAGGACCCTGAATTTTTGTACCATTACATCCAGATGACATTTCTTTGGAAGATGATCAAGTGGGTTCCCTCTTCATCAGCTTACTCATTGATTGTTTCCAACAATATTCATGGTGCTGTCATGTGGAAGAAGTTTTCCAGAAGGTTGGTAGACTTTATCTGGAATCATCTATTGCTGGACAAAAAACCAAAAACAAAACAGAGAAAACAAAAATAAAACAAAAAACAAAAACAAAAACCCTCTTTGTTCACTTCAGATTTTCTCGTAGAACTATTTGCAAGATATCCAGTACAGAGCCAGATCAAGATTCTCCAAACAAATAATCAAATATCCATTTATTCTAATACCTACACTTCTCTCCCAGGAGTTATAGAAAAAAGGTTTAATTATTAGTGGATATGTATGAGAAAATATTAAAGATTTCATTTTACCTATCATTTTCATTATAAAAGTATACACTAGATTTAGTTTACTTCTAATGACATTCCATTCTCTTTATTTATTTTCTTTTCTGATTTTCTGAGACCTCCATCTCCTATTTGCTTAGTGACCAGTTGTTGCCTTCAGTACATAGACTCTTTAATATAATGATGTGGTAGGAACTCCCATTCCTAATTTTACTTTTCCTTCCTTTTTTTCTTTTTGAAAATTCAAGCTATCTTTTCACTACTGGTCCCACCAAATTGATTTTCCTTCCAGATGTTTACAAATGTCTCTCAATGACTTCTGGTCCAGAAATCTTTTGAGACTTCACAGGATCCAATCCAGATGACCATAATTGAAAGGCTATCCATGACAAGATACTTCTACCTCTTCCCAGGAATTTAAAGCTATCCAATGGCACCAACCTTTTCTAAACTAAGGTAAATAGTTCCAAGTGTTTAAAAGCAAAGTTTTCTTACTCAGACTCAATAACTAGAAATCTTGTGAGCACAGAGATGGTGGTGGGTCTATTAACTTGCTGGCTGGCAATCTCCAATTTCCTGTGTGTGATTAGGTGAGGATCAGTTATCTCAACCTGATTTTATTTTTCTTGGTCCATTACATGATTTTGAATGTAAAGATGAATGCAAACATTGCTCCAAGCAGAGTAAACTTATGATTTTGACCTGACAAATGAAGGCCTGATATTAAGATTTTGGATGTACTCATGGAGGGAAGAAATCATTGTTGTTGATTTCAAACTGGTTCTAAAGAAGTCAATTTGTCAGCCAGGGAAACTTCTCAATACTTAAAGTCACAATTCTGATTTGTGATCCAGAGTACTGATGTATAAAATAGTCCTTACTTCAGAGTGGTGAGGACCAGTTCACAATCTTATTTGGGAGAAATGTAAGTGTTGTTTACAGCACTTAAATTTAATATTAATATTATTCATATAAAATATTTATATCATCCACTTATATTATATTAAATATATTATTATGTAGTGAATATAATATATTAAATTACATATAAAACATATTATACTATAATATATTTGTGAATACATTTATATGGTATTTGTATTATTTATTTCAATAATATTAATTATTTATATACATTAAATTATTATCTTCATTACTGATTATTCAAATTTCCATCTTAATTAGACATGACCACATCATCATGCTTTTAGAAAGGGTTATGTTTCAGCAAATCCTGTCACTGTACCATGATTGCTCCTGGTACCACACTTTCTTATTACTTCCTTCTTTCTTTTTTATCTAGGAAGTAATATGCTGAGTAGTCCTTAAGCACTTGGTTCTTTCAGAAGGATACTTCCTTACACTCAACTTTATTTTTCCCATCCTCTAACTTCATGAGGGTTTTCCCACAAAATGTTTATCCCCATTTCCACCTTTCCCTATGTTTTTTTTCCCCCAAAATCCTGTAATGGCCAGATTAAACTCATCCTACAATCCCTGTCCCAAATTTCATATCATCCAAGAAGTTTTCAATGATATTTTAATACTTTCATAAATTCAAAATCACATTTTGGAACACTTTATTACATTATATTCAGGGGTTGGCAAACTACAGCCCATGGGCCAAATATATCCAGTAAACTAATAATTTGTATATATTTTAAAATAAATTTTATTATGTTTAAACTATATTTAAAACATTCTTAGTTCATGGTCCTTACAAAAAAACAAGTTGGGAAGAAAATGTCTCTCAAGCAGTACTTTCCCTACTTCTGCTCCATATATTAAAAAAAAAATTGTCTGTTTCATTTGAATATGCCTTATGTTTTGCCAAGTCATTTGAGAGAAGGTATCGTGTCTTCTATTTCTTTTTTTTCATAATATTTGTTAGGATAGTGCTGGTCACTAGAATTCCTTCAATTATTAATTCTGAAATTGAATGGAATATACCAATTTGATCTTGAAGCAGTTACTGACTTTTTTTGGGGGGATGCGGGTTCTGGGCAACAAAACAACCTACAGGTCATTAGTGACCTTGTAAAGATTAAAGCTTATTTTTAAGAGTTTTATTAATGCTTTTTTGTTTTGACGACTTAGTCTTTTATAAAATTTCCTTTGACAATCTAGTGCACCTCCTTTTCTGACAAAGAAAAAAAGTCAGTTATGATACAGATGAGTGGGTTTGCCAGACTATGCAGCATTTCATATCCATAGTTGCCCATTTCTTCAAAGAGATTATCTAAGTATATTTCTTCATCTCCCCTCTGGGGTTAATATTGGTCATTATAGAAGCAAATCATTTGGGTTTATTTTTAGCATTCTTTTTATTTACACTAATATGGTCATTGCATATACTATTTTCCTGGTTCTATTTACTAACTCTCTGTCACTTATGTTATTATTCATCATCACCATGATCATCATAATCATTTTTGAAGTGGGATTTCCCTATCTTGCTGAGGCTGGGAATACAGCAGCCATTTACAAGCCTATTCCTACAGCTTATCAATAGTGAAGTTTTGACCACCTCTATTTCTGACCTGAATTAGTTTGTTTCTTCTTAAGCAACATGGAGATCCCTCACTTCCAGGGACTCCCTTTATTGGTGCTTGACATTTTTGCAGATACCAAATTACCTTTAACCTTACTTCCATTCAGACTCATGAGTTCATGGGATCCACCAGCCTTGATCTCAATTTCAGGGATTATTCTCTCACATACTCACATCAGTTACATCATTTCTTAATATGCAATTATACATCACATCAAATTACATAACATACTCCCCAACTGATTGCACACCTATTTTTGAGTTTTAAGGCACAGCTGTGAGGAATCAGTGTCTCAGCCTAAAAATTCCTTCATCCCGAAAGAGGCAGGAGATGCTGATTTTGCCACATCCCCAAAGAAAAGAGAGAGCAACTCTTTGGGGAAGTGGGAGTAAAGAAATACACAAAACTAGATGGAGGTGAAAGAGTCTCTATGCTATAAATTTGAATACATGAGACCCCTTGAGGGGACCTTACTGTACATCAATATAACCTTGAGAAATCAACAGATCAACTCTGATGGTATTGGACTATTATTATACGTGGAACTGTTGCCAACAATAATACAGCTAAAACATAGATCCATTAAAATCATTAAGAATGACATTTTAAAACATGACAAAAAAAGCTTTAAAAATATAGAAAAAAAGCAAGAGGGAGCCAAGCAAGAAGAAAACCAAATGGAAATAGTACGAGAAACATAAAATTCACTTCAACTTGCCTGATATAGGAGTTATACAGCTCATGCTTTCGTATTGAGCTTACAGATATGCTTATATCCTAATATTTTTATTCTATATTAAAAAGCATATTTATCTACCTATTCAGTAGGCTGTAGAACATTATCTATAAAAGAATAATAGCAGGAAATTTTGTTTTTCTGGGACTGCTTCTATCTGAACTCCACTTGAAAAAATGAGATCAAAATAGACTATTATTATTGTGGTTGTTCATAAAAATAGATCATATTAGTGTATTTTTTTCTTTAAATAACATTTGGGATAAGTGAAAAGCCCAAGAGATAGAGATTCTGGGTAATTTAATAAAAATTAACCCTGATTGATGAACAATTAATGAAAGGGCAGACTTATTAAAGAGGAGGTGGACAAAAGTCCTCCTGCTAAGAACATTACTTGATCATGAGACTCTGCCATCTCCAGCAAACTGGACAAAGGAATCTATCTCTACCCAGACCACTTTGTTTGATTTTCTCCTTCATATGCTGAGTTCCCATAGACTGCCATGGAGGGGTACAAGGCCATGGGCTCAATGCTTTAGGGCTTAATGCACCTGCATTAGATTCTTTAGATTACTCTAAACAGAAGTAAGGTCCCCTAGTTGGGTGGGGTCTGCCCAAGATTGTGAAGCATGTACCCCAAGGATTAGGCCAATCTCATCTATCAGCCTTGTCCTTCAGAGACTGGCCAAATAACTTTCAAGGGCTGGTCCCTGAATAAGGAAATGGAAAGAAAAAAAAATCTTTATCCTATTTTAATAATAAGTGGTTGTTAATATAATAGGAAAATAATAACTTCTCTTGCATATAACCCTTTTATCAGAGACTCAAGATTCTGGGGACCTAAGCACTCTTTAAGGGATGTCCTCATTCTTTTGGATTATAGCCTACAAGAAGGAAATGTGGGAAAATGTATATATATTTCCCTTTCCCCAACCTTCTGAAACACTTGCAAATGCTCATGTTACTTTCCCCTACCCCTTTAGGAGAGGGTTTCTAGACCTATGATTTCTTCAGTGTGGGAAATTACTTATTATGGAAACTCCATCAATTTGAATCAGAGAGTTGCCTGAGGATTCCTGAGTGGTTAAATGACTTACCCAGCATTACACAGTCAAGACATATTAGAGACAGAACTGCTGTGTTGTTTTGTTTTGTTTCCCTGAATTCAGGCCATAATATCAATCTATAACACCATGCTATATCAATCTCAATCATTTAGAAGATAGTTTTGTTAAATGAAAGAAAGCAAAGAGACCCTTGAATTAGTCACCTCAGTCCTCAAATGTATATAAACTTTCAGAGCCATAGTTCCTTTTTTGTTTGTTTGTTTAAGGTAATTGAAGTTAAGTGACTTGCCCAGGCTCACACAGCTATTAAGTGTCTAAGGCGAGATTTGAACTCAGGTCCTCCTGACTTCAGGGCTGTTGCTCTATCCACTGTACCACCTAGTTGCCTCTTAGAGTCACAGTTCTTGAAAACACCCACATAACCCCCCTCCCAATCCCTCCCTTTTTTATCCCACCCAAATCTAATCTTGGTTTAGCATTCATTTTGATTGAAGGGATCATGGAGTGCTCTCTCACTCTCTCTCTCTCTTTCTCTCTCTCTCTCTCTCTCTCTCTCTCTCTCTCTCTCTCTCTCTCCCCACTTTTTAAACTTTAATTTTTTTTTTATGATATTTCCTGACAGGCACTCAAGGCACCAATTTCTAAAGCAAAGCAAGTAGAGGCCATTAGTGCTTCTGTGCTATCTTCCCAAACAAGGGTAAAAACTCCAAAATACAATTCCCTGGTTACTATTGATTCCCTCTTTACTTCTTTCTTTATTTGTTCTTATTATTACCTTTCCTCTTTAATAACAGCCCATCAATATATAAATATAATGCAAGCAGGAAGTACCTCTGTTCTTAATGAGAGCTCTGTAGTATGAAAGCACTATACCAAGTCCCAGAGTTTTTATTCATTGGAAAGACTTATAGCATGTCATTATTCTATGGAGCCTTAAACCTAGATAACAGGAAATTAGAAAAAAAAAGACAAGAAAAAATGAACTGTACATATGTGTTTGCATACACAAATATGCATGTGCATATCCACAGAAACACATGTATGCATAACCATGACATGGGTGAAAAGTTTTTTTTATATGTGTAGATATATACATACTCA